CTGGTAGACATCGCGATTGGAATTATCAAAGGTTTTTGACACCTGAGAGACACCGTAGCAACTTATTTGTGTTTGGAAGCGGGGGGTGGGGGTGGGGGGAGGACCAGGGAGGATGATTCAACCACTCAACCACTAGATGTCGCTGAAAACAACAAATCCTACACACTGTGCCTTTAAGCATTAAATATATTAACTGTTTCATTGTGATTAAATATACAAAGATTGATGAGACTTTTTTAAATCACTGTATTCTGTTTTAATTTACATTTTACACCGTGTCCCAATTTATTACATTTAAATGTAGAACTTTTCTTTATCTCCTGTGTATACATTCCCTGAACTCATGTAAAATACACTGTAACATCTCGTGTTCCTCAATAAATGCCTTAAGCATAGTATAACATACAAACTAATGCCAAAACACGTTTTATAGCAGATCATCAGGCACCGATTGTCCACAAAATTGACCCATTTAAAGTTCAGCACAAGATTGTAAAGGTCAAACTGATACATCCTTAAAGGAGTTATAGGAAGAAAAATGGAAAAGAAAATGCATAACCTTCATAACATATTACAGACTAATGTATTACAGACTATAAAAGAGATAAGTAATGACCAAAGATTGATGTCTGCTGGATGACCCTTTAACCCCTGAAGTGGAACGTGTGTAGCAAACCGTCTGCTGCTGCATGAAAAGATGTAATAAAATAGGAAAACTGTGAAATACAAGCAACTTCTTTTGAAACATGGTCTTAAGTGTAATTCAACATTTTGGCTTGTTTTTTACAGAAATTACTGGCTGATTGTAATCTAAGAAACGTAATCCAGACTGTTATTATTGTTGTATAGTAACTAAATATTTACTTTGTTGCAGTATTTAAGTCATTTTTTTATGACTTGTAATTTTACCAAGTACTTTTTTATTGTAACTTTTACTTTTATTTTGTTTAATTCAAAACATGAGAATTATACTTTTACTTCTTTCCTTTAACGTTTATAGTTTTTAATGATTGTTTTGACGCAGCCGTCAACTCAAAATACACATTTTCAAAACAGTTAACGCAGAGGCCTAAACAGTGTCACAGTGGTCAAAATGACACATTTTGTTTGCAAAAGGCTCTAACTGTGCCAAAACATTTAAAATATGGAACAAAAGCAAGTTTTGCCTTCAAACAACTCAACTTTGACACAAGTGTGTGAGCACCTCCAATCAATCAGTACACAATGGGCAACAAAATACAGCACTCGTATGTGAATCAATGCACCATTGCTTGTCATTGTAGCCTATGGCTGTACATGGGTTACACGCCCGTGCTGTTTGTTGTCAAATTTGCCCTCTTGCAAAAAATGCATCCAGAAGCAGATATGCTTTGATGCAAATTTTATTGTATACATTCTTTTTTTCAGACTGTGCCTGACAAATGAAATATTCCAACAGAGATTACATGGAAATAAAAATAAAATCCTTTACTGTGTGAGAAATTAGGTAAATAAAAAACACAGTCTTTTACAGTAAAGAACAAAAATCTATAGTAGGCCTTTAGATTAGACCTTTATTGTCAGAGAACAATGAAATTACAGTTCAGAACAACCARTCAGAAGAAGACGGAACATAACAAACATAGGAGAACAGGTACGCTGGGTCATGCTCCCACTGACCCTGCACAGAGCAAGGATCATCTTCATAAAGACATCATGAGGAGGTGCAACCCTCCTAAAAAAAACTAAAAACCACACAAGGACAGATGAGGAAAACAAAAACAAAAAGAAACATAACATTACTYTAAGAGRACAAGAAAACAACACAGGCCTGCAGACTGATTGCAAATTGAAAAATTCTGTGAAGAAGTGTCAAACAGGTGCTTTCAGTGTTTCGTACGGACAGCTAAAAGGAAGTTTCGACTTCTTGAATGACATCTGCGTTAACTGTTTTGCAAAAGGTTGGAAAACTGTGTCAGTCCAATGAGAATGGGTTAACACATTGCAAGAGGTGTCTTCTGCTCTGCTGAGARGGTGATGATGAAGACTGAGAGGTTCCTAGTTCCTTCAAACAGGTCAAACCAGTCAATAAAAACTGTAATACCTAGTTACACGTRACACATTTAAATATGACCAGAACTCATCAGGAAAGGTGTTGTTTATGGACTCTAAATTCAACACTTCATTTCATAGAGTGTGTATAACAGAGTGCGTGTAATAAAGTGTGTGTAAAGTACTTGAAAAAAAAAAAAACCAATTAAAAGAAAAACTACCTTAACAGAAAATGATTTTGGTAAAAATGGATTTCACTAGAAAGAAAAGTACTTAAGTGAAATCATAAAACTGCTCACAGTAATCAGTATCTTTTAAAGTAAATCTATAAATTGATTTATCAGAATCAGAATACTTTATTGATCCTTTATTGGGGAAATTGCAATTATCACAGTAGCAACTGTTCAAGTAAGCATRAGAGATCAAATATAAAAGAAAAATATTAAAGCACACAAGGAAGTAAATATTTACATTAATCAACCACCACTAAGACCGTTGAGCAGCTGAAACACTGTATTCAGCAACAATGAACAAATTCACAAAAGTGCACAAATTAATGGTCAACAAATTTAATTTCCTTTATTTATACAGGTTAGTCTCATTGAAACACAMTTGTCTCATTTGCCAGGGAGACCTGCTGCACTTAAATAAAACGGTAAAATCAGTTTAACCAATAAAACATGGAAAAAATATAATTTAGATTCAAAAGAGGAAGTGATGTAACACAGCACTCAGTTGTTATGAAGCGATAAGCACAAATCTCAGTAGCACAATCACATACATGTGTGTGTTTTCCACTCTGACTTTACAGCTCAGTGTGAGCGGAAGCATCCGCTGCCCTCAGACATTGCTGTCATCATGTACACCAGTGGATCAACAGGTGTTCCTAAAGGCGTCATGATCTCCCACATGAACATCATCGCCTGCATTTCAGGGATAGCTGAGAAGATACCCAACCTTTGGTAAAAACAACAACCTTGATTACCATGTTTATCTCTCTGCTGCGTGTGTTCTAGTATTTTTTTTTTTTACCTTGTAAGGCTAATTTTTCCAAAATATACTACCTTCTCCTTATCGGGTCCAGGCTTTGGGCCCTAAAAAGTCAAATGCCATTTTTGGGTTGGGAGTTAGATTTTGAACTAAGGTGTGAATTGAAAGTTGGTAATATTTAGAAGTAGGTATGTTCTGAGGGTGGTTATGTTTAGGGAAAGGGTTAAGTTTAGGCTATAGAAGTGAATAAAAAATGAATGGAAGTCAAAGGAAAGTCCTTGTGATGAAAGATGTGTATGTGTGTGTGTGTGTGGGGGGGGGGGTGTTGAAGTGAGGACTACAGTTTAGTGCTTCAGTTAATCCTGTTCAACTCTGACTTTATTAATCCTATTTAACTTTGACATTCTAATTGTTTGATCTAAATATTGTAAGTGTAAATGTGTCCAATATTGGCCGAAGAAGAGTTATTCAGCTTCAATAGCAACTATTTTGTAAATTATTTGTAGCAGCTTGTTTTAAATGAAAACTGAGTCATTAATGGAGATGATCGTATTTAACAAGCCATGCAATTGAACTGCTGCAACCGTTCTCCCCAGAGACTAATTGGAGTTGAGAGGAAACAGACTTTCTGTGAAAGTTTACCTGAATGAAGGAAAACTTTGGGAGGATGAAGATTAGTCTTAATGATCTGTATCTGGCTTAAAAAATTACGACTGTTGTTTTGACAATGTAACCCCCATTTTCATGTACAGAAGCTACAATTGGACTTTTAGTCCTTTTTATGTGGAACATAGATTACACAGCAATTAAATAAAAAATCATTTCAAGAGGATTCATACTATAAACCACAACAGTTAAATCTAAGCAAACAAAAATGTGATAACTTTTTGGAGGAGATTATGTTTGTGGTTTATAGTATGAATCCTCTTAAGATGATTTTTTTATTATTATGAATAAGAAAACTAATAGTTTATTTTTAGTGTAAACCATGGTTACCAACATTTACAGTCAATGTAAAAACAACCACAAGTTTCCTTTTTCAAGCTTTTAAGGCATCTCTTACAATCACTGGCAACTTCCAATCTGACTCTTTGTAAAATCATCTCTGTTTACAGTGAGGAAGATACGTACATTGGCTACCTTCCTCTTGCTCATGTGCTGGAGCTATGTGCAGAACTTCTGTGTATTTCTCATGGCTGTAGAATTGGCTTTTCCTCACCTCAAACTCTGGCTGACCAGGTAAATGTTACGTTTACCCTGAATTACACTATTTCACTCAGACATGGGAAACTTAAAATGTCACAAAAAGTAACTTTTTTTATTAGGTTTGACAATTTGGAAAATGTGTTTATTTTCTTTTGTAGAAGACTAATTCAACTATCATTAGAAATCACATACAGTGCTTTGGAAAAAGTCTTCATACCACATTTTGTTATGTTACAAACACAAACTTGCTCACATTTCTCGTGGGGTAAAATCTAGACAGCTCGCAAGTCCATCACAAAGACACATAGAGACAAATGAGACAGACAATCATTCACTCACTTACACCTAGGGACAATTTAGAGATACCAACTAGCCTTAAAGTCATGTTTTTGGTCTGTGGGAGGAAGCCGGAGTGCCCAAAAAAACCCACACGTGTGGAGAATCATGCAAACTGTACCCAGAAAGGTCCCCAGCCAGGATTCAATCAAACAACCTTCTTGCTAAGAAGCAATAACTCTACTAACTGATCTACCGTGCAGAGCTTTAGTCAGATCTATGAAGACAAATTAGTCTCAAAGGAATTCATAAAAGCAGAAATGATTCGCTAGTACGTATATGGCACGATCCACCGTATAAAATGCTACTTCTGATGTTATCTAATTAGCTGACATTTAAGGTAGTTTATCTAGAAGAAAAATATCTTTCATGGTTTATTTCAGCCATACGAGCCACGAAGTTGGCAATATTGGAATCCACACTGAAAAAAAATAACTTGTAAGATTTACTTGAAAAAATCCGCTTACAAATTTGCGCTAACGTTTGTTAAGTAAATTTAAATACTACAAATTCATGTAATATTTACTCATCATTATCTAGTAAAAGTTATTAAGAATATAGTTAAAGATTTGTGAATAAATCAGGTAAATTTAACTTAATTTGCTCAATTAAATCTTATAACATATACTTGATCATTCTCTGAACTGATTCTCAGTTGGATTTAGGTCTGGATTTAGGTCCATTCTAACACATAAATAACCAGTGTTGCTCTGATTGGATGTTTCAGGTCATTGTCCTGCTTTTACAGCTGGCTGAATACAAATACACGCCACACTTTTCAGATTATGTACAAAAGCTTTGTGTTGTGAGTGACATTGAATCCCAGTAAAATACTTAGTAGTTTGTGGTTGTAATGTGACAAAGTATGGAAAAGTTCAAGGGGTATGAAAACGTTTTTTATAGTCCTGCATAAGTGGAACTGCTGAACACAGCTTTGTACAAAGCTGTAGTAGCTAGTAGTAGCTACTCTGTTATTAAGGTTGAAAAAATCCACCCACCAGATGATTTAAAGAATGTTAAAGGGTCAATATCATGTAAAATCAACTTTTTTGAGTTTTATATCATGTTATAATGTTACACTCTCATAAAAAAGGGTTTCGCGCATGCGCTATMATGCAGTTTACTTGGCTTCTGAAAATACATTTCCTCGAAGGTATTTTGAATCTGAAAAGAGCTTCAGTGAAGTAGTGGATCTCAGCAGACAGTAAATTTCAGTTTCACTTTTGCTCTGTTACTGCCGAGAGCCTGCAGGAGTCAWMGGTGGGGTGTGTGGGGTGGGGAGGTGTGCTCCGTAATGAGGAAGTTCGGCTTAAAGACACGTCCCAGAGGCGTTTCTGGTATCAAAAGGCGTTTCTGGTCCCCGCTGTTGTTTTGCTACTCAGCATGGCTGCCTAAAAATGCTGCAGGATTTCTCAAACATGCATGAATGAGTCAAATCAAGGCTTTGGGCATGTTTTTTATGTGAGTATAACATTATATAACATGATATAAAACTCAAAAAAGTTGATTTTACATGATATTGCCCCTTTAAACAGGAAATCCAGGTCAACCCTAACCAGAGGATTTATCAAAAAGGAAAGTCTTCAGTCTAATCTTAAAAGCAGACAGAGTGTCAGCCTCATGGACATAAACTGGAAGTTGGTTCCACAAGAGAGGAGCTTGATGACTGAAAGCTCTGCCTCCCATTCTACTTTTAGAAACTCAAGGAACCACAAGTAAACCTGCAGTCTGAGTTCAGAACTTTTATATGCTAGAAGTATGATTTCAAAGTCTTTTCCTAATTTGACAGGGTTCCAATGGAGTGGAGCTAAAATTGGAGACATACTCCCATCAGAACTCTAGCAGGAGCATTTTGGATAAACTAAAATCTTTTAAAATGCTTTTTGGGAACCTATAAAATAAAGAATTACAATATTCCAGGCTAACCGTAATAAATGCATGGACCAGTTTTTCTGCATCATTTTGGGAGAAGATGTTTCTACGGTAATTCTACACAAAAAAATCCAATTGATTGTTGTGACTTTGCATTTTTTTCTTTTCACAGTCAACCAAGATTAAGAAAGGAAGCAGGGGAGACGCCAGTGTCCTGCAGCCCACCCTGATGGCAGCAGTCCCGGTTTGTCATGAGAGTACACTCAGTACACCACAGTAACTTTGTTCAGCTTCATGTATGAGAAGCCTTTCTGTTTACAGTTTCTCCCCCCAAACAACTCTCCCTTTTCTCCCTTAAGGCTTTGTAGTCACCAAGCAGATCCAATTTCACAGATTTTGTTCCTAAGCCCACTAAGAAATAGCAGTGACAGAGTCCAACAGGCCCAGATCTGCTGGATTAATCTAAATGGACTGACGTAAACACTCTGTGTAACCCAACACTGCTAAATGCTGCTTCACTGGATATTTTCTTTTGTATTTACTAATTTTACCAGTATTGACACAAAGATGATTAATTTTGGTTGTGATAGGACTAACTAGTTATTACCCTCTGCTGCAGCATACAAAATTAACCATAAGATTTTCCTATTATACATAAATGACCTTCCAAAAATAGTGAAGTATTCAAATATTTTAATGTATGCTGATGATACTGTTCTTTTTTTTGTCTGATTTCAATATTGAATCCATTAATAGTCAGTTACAAGCAGATCTTCAGACATTTCATGGTTGGCTTCAAGATAATCTTTTGTCAATTAATGTTAAAAAACTGTGTGCATGTATTTTTCCTCACCCAGGAGACATTTCAATATAACAAATCAACTCACTTTTTTAAACAAACCCCTTGATATTGTCACTACCTACAAATATCTTGGAATTACTTTGGATTCTCATTTGACTTATCGTGATCATGTACAAGTCTTAACCACTAAGTTGAAACAGAAATTATACATTTATTCAAAAATTAGATCCAATCTGACATCTTCTGTTTCAAATATCTATCTTCATGCCATTATACTCTCAACCATGTCGTACTGTTTACCTGTTTGGTCTCTTACAACAAATGAAATCTTAGAACCCATAGTTAGGCTCTACAACAGGGCCTACAAAATTCATAAAAAACTTCCTGGTTGGACTCATCACTGTAGAGTTCTTTCATTGTCTGATGCCTTGACTTTTCAGAATTATGTTTTGTATAGTGGTATTAATTTATATTTTCAGATCTTCCAAGGTGCCAATTATGGAACTCTCTGTGCATTGRTGCCCAAATCAAATTCTGGAAGTGGTCATTCAACTAGATCTGTTACAAAAGGACAACTGATATTACCAACTTTTAAAAACTGTTACGGCCAGAGGTCTTTCTTCTATGTTTATACTAAAGCATGGAATGACATTCCTCAAAACATAAAGTCCATTTCAAAACTACAGCCCTTTAAGAAGAATCTTGTCTACCATCTGCTGGACACTTTCTGTTGTGCTCATATTTAGACGTCCTATTTTGCAAATGCTGCCTTTTTGAAATTTGGTATGCTTGTTTGTCTTTGTGTCTATGGTGTAAAAATGATGTGATTGTGATGCTGTAATTCTGAGTGTTTTATGTGCTGCAGAACAGGAACCTGCTGTAAAACAGCAATTATGCTGAGTCAGGCTTGATTTTTAATAATCTTTTCCTGTTAAATAAAGTAAATTAAAAAAAATGGTAGATGGTCTTTGTAGGGTCTTGGGGAGGTCTTCAGGTATGTATTAAGTATGCCGAGGGCTCTCCATTATCCGTTATAGAGTATGAAAAAGTGGAGAGTTTAGAGCATGAAAAAAGTGTTGTGGATTATTTTCTTCCTAAAGAAAAGACTTAAGAATTCACAACTGAGGAGATTTTTTTAGGCTATCCTAGTTTTGCACGGTCCAGACAGTCTTACAGTCTAGTTTTCCCCAGTATCCCAGTAACAGCGCCTAGTTATCTTTCATTGTTTTTTCTAAGGCAAAAGTAGGCAAACCATAACATTATTTTGTATCAGTCATTTTTATTGTGGTGACTGTGTTTTTATGTCCTGGGTGTAGCATATTCATGATGCTTGGTCATCAATATATTAAAGTGAGACTGGTCATGACAGCTTCATGCCAAGGCTACAGTCCCATCAAACCCATATTGTGCTAGTTTGGTGCGATCATCTTGCATATAATAAAATCAGATAGAAGCTAAAAATCAGAATTGAGTATTAAGACCTGCAGTGTGAACCCATGAGAGTTGGCTTGGGGTGTGGTGTAGGTTTGGGCATAATCGTATCGTGTGCAATTAATCGTCAGAAAAACATTAATCGATTATTTTTTGGTACTTGACGATTAATACGATTAATGCCGCCAGGCAGACTGACTGGTGCTCCTCWCTGCTTCAAATATGACGAACATTTTAAAAAAAAGTTGTGTAATTTATTTATTTATCAACACAATTTAAATTTTGATGTATAGCCTGAAGTCTGTAATTCTGACACAATTTGGAACAGATTTGTGTGAAGAGCAAATCTTTTCCACGAAATTTTTCATGTGACCAGGGCATGAGGGTGTCCAGGGACTCCAGGGGATTAATTGTCAAATTAATTGTTATCGGCTAAATACCACAATTAATCGTGATTAATTTTTTTGCCAATATTGCCCAACCCTAGTGTGGGAGTGGGTGTACAACATAAATTAATACATGATAGTGTCATCATGGGAACATGCTGCTGATGTAAAGAGCATGGTGATGTCGTAGGATAATAGAAAATAGCAGGAACAAAAGTATTTGAGTATCAGGAATGAATGGTTTTCAATATTAGCTGCTATCTGGTCATGTTCTAATAGTAATAGAGAGAGTAACTGGGTCATCAATAAGAGTGAAGAGGGCCTTAAGGCTTCTACATACTCATTTTGTGTGAGGTTGTGTGGCAGAATGACCCAGG